GGCAACTCATGCCAATCGAAGAAAAGATGCAAGTGGTCAAGGATTTCGTCTTGCCTGGATCCACAATCAGTGCTCATGGAAGCAGCAGCCAAGAAGTCAAACAACACATTGTATTTGGTACATCTGCTGCCTGAGCCCTGTTGCACATATTTAACATCAAGTCCTGGTATTTTCAAACCCCTCACATACATGTGAAAGTTGGACAAGGAATCAGGAAGAACAAAAACGAATCGATACATCTGAATTATGGGGCTGGTGACGAATATTGAAAGTACTATGAACTGCCAAAGGAACAAATAAATCTGTCTTGGAAGAAGTACAGCCAGAATGGTCTTCGATGCCTTTCGGCAGGGAGGGCAAGTGTTCCAAGTCCTCACCTACTGACTCTTCAGCATTTAACTTTCCATTTTTATGATCACTAACAACCTCACCTTCATCGAAACATCGACTTTATCTTAATCGTTTTTAACAGTTCACATTTACAATGATAGTAAAAAATCGACTACATGACTATCTCACACACTAATGCTGTGTGTCTGACAATTACGAACCCTGAGAGGTGAGGTCAGAGTAACTCTGGCGGTGATGGTTAAGGCCATATGATTTATCTCTCTAGAGATTCTCAGTAGTTTGGCAGTGATATGATGGAATTTGATAGTTATGTAATTTTTTGTTTGTTTGTTTGTTTTTTTAACATTTTATTAGGGGCTCATACAACTGTTATCCCAATCCATACACACATGAATTGTGTAAAGCGCATTTGTACATCGTTTCTCAAAACATTTTCTCTCCATTTAAACCCCCGACATTAGGTCCTCATAGTTATGTAATTAATGAGGTAGCCGTCCCCCATTCTGTGATAATTCTCTGTGTTTAGCATAATGCTGATTTCTCACAACAATCATTTATAGAACATCATTCCTAACAACAATAGAACACATGTACATGTACATGTACATGGAACATTTACCAAAATAGATCATATACTGGGCCATAAAGCAAGCTCAATATATTTTTTAAATGTGAAATCATATAGCATATATTTTCCCATCACTTTAGAATCATACTAGGAATTAATGACAAGAACAACAAAAAAAGGCCAAACCCAAAACTACTTCTAGATAGGTCAAAGAAGGCATCATGGAAATTGCAAAATATTTGAAATAAATAATAATGTCTCAAACTTTTGTGATGCTGCTAAAATAGTGCTTAGTGGGAAATTTGTAGCTTTAAATACACATATTAAGATAAACCAAAAATTCAAACTCAATGTGATCTAGTCAATGCCATTTCATAGCAACCTTATAGGACAGGGGAGAACTGCCCCTACGAGTTTCCGAGACTGTAACTCTTTATGGGAGTAGACACCCCGTTGTTCTCCCTCAGAGGGGCTCTATCAGTAATTACAGTAAGAGTATTTTTAGGGTGTTGAGCAGGTTGAATCAAGCTTCCCTGATAGATGGTAGCGGGCGCACCTGAGGTGCATCGCACGGAATGAAGGCTTGGCCTTCTGCATGGAGCGGTGCTCCCTGCCTTTAGTCTACTTACTGATGCACGAGGGGGCTCCAAAAAGCTCTAGCATGGAATTAAAAAGCAGAATGGAATGTTTCTACCAACTTCTTAAAGCCCCTTTGTATTTGAACTTGGTTCCTTTTTCCTCTTCATATTTTCTGTTGGACTTTAAAAATCCTGTCCCGCACACCTCACCCCAACTTGTTTGCAAAGTTCTCATTGATATTTCTGTTCTTTGGGTAGTCACCTTGAAGTTTTTAATATGCATTATACAGAGGGTTGAATATTTGACCACCAGCTGTAAGTTGGCAGTGTGAATTCACAGGAGTCCCCTGGGAGGACAGGCCCAGGGGTGCATCTCCAAGAAGTCCCAGCCTTGGAGACCCTCGGAAGAAGTTCTGCGGCACACACACGGGTCACCGTGAGTCAGGACTGACCTAAAAGCAACTCATAACAACCATTTTCCTGAGTGTCTCGAAGCAGGAGCTTCGGGTTCAGTTTCGTTTTGTTGGGTATGTGCTGCACTAACGACATCCCAGTGGGATTTAACCGCTCCCTGAATCTCCTCACACCTGGCTTCAGCTCCTGCATTACCCTGGTGTTTAAGGGTTGTGGCTGTCAGGTACCCTCAAGTCAGTTCTGACTCAGAGGGACCCCATGATCAACAGAACGGAACACTGCCTGGTCCTGGGCCATCCTCACAACGGTTGTTAGCTTCGAGCCCGGTGTGGCAGCCACTGTGTGCATCCAGCTCAGTGAGGGTCTTCCTCCTTCACTGCCCCTCCACTTTCCCAACCGGGACACCCGTGTCCAGGACCTGGTCTCTCCGGGTAACATGTCCAGAGTACCTGAGAAGAAGTCTCACTGTCCTTGCCTCCAAGGGTCATTCTGGCTCGACTTCTTCAAAAACAGATGATTTGTTCTTTTCTTTGTGATGATAGTTCACCACTTCATAAGTACATTTTAAAAAAGGTGGTGTTGTTCATTAAATGTACTGGCTCTTCAAGGACATTACTGTACTGGTACCATTTCTGAGAATTTCTTTTCTGAGACTTGAAATGAAGGCCAGGGGCTGCCTGGACCACAGTAGATGGCCATGAAATTCCCCACCCCCACTCAGAGCAGAAACAGCGGCTTGTCGCTTTAAAGCTGGGAGCCAGAGCTCAGTAGGCCTGGAGGCCTCTGGATCAGATCCGTCTCACGGACAGTTGTCCAACACTGACCTCACCTCTAGTTCATCTTCTGGATACTGTACTTCGCTGGGGAGAAAGCGAAATGGTGTAGGATTAAGTGTTCTCGTTCTGAGCTGTGACGTGTTGAAAGGGATGCGCAGGGAGGCAGCTTGTTCCTCCTCTGGGAGGCAGGCGCAGCCTGTCTCTCGCAGCCGCCCTTGGCTGCCGGCTGGAATGCAGCGGTAAGGTGGAACGCTTAAAGGATCCTGCCAAGCAGCAAATATATTTTTCTTGAACAACATTTTACTTTTTCTAAGGACACTAACAGGGCACAGTATCGAGCCCCAGCAGTGAACCAGACAACACAGTCGTCCGGCTCCGTGGGGCCACATGGGTGCTCATTTCCAAGTTTCGTCTTTGTAAACAGGCTCCCAGCAGAGCCCTCTGCACCAAACGACTTAATTACTTGTTGAAACTGAAGCAGAGGAACTTGAGGGAAAGAAATAGCTCAAAAGGAAAAGTGACCATCTTGAAATGTTAAAGAGGGGTGCCACGGGGAGACTTGAGTATTAGAAACCTCTCAAATGAGGTCTACGCTTCCCAGGCGAGAGACCCAGGTTCGATTCGCAGACAACACGTCCCGTGTGCAGCCTCCGGCCCTCTGCCGTGGGGGCTGGCATTGTGCTATGGTGCCAGCCAGGTGTCAGTGGAATTGCAGACAGAGATGGACCTAGGAAATAGAGCTGAAGGCTACTCCCAAAACTCAGCCAAAGAAGCCGAGTGCCTATCAAGGGGTGCATTTGTAACTGCTCCTGGGTTTGGGGCCAGGCCGGCCATCACTTTGTTCCTTGCGCGTGGGGTCCCCGTGAGCCAGGGGCCAACGCAAAGGCAGTAGCAGCAATGTGGCCTAAGAGCGACTTCACCCCTGCTTGTCCAGATCAGCAGTCACCCAACAACCTTGCTGAGGGCGCAGCACCTGGGAAGGGACCACACAGCACCTCCACTGCATCTGCTGCAGCCGGGCAGTCAGTCTTCGTGGTTAATCACGAGGAGACGCTAATACCACTTCACCATTGAGTTGAATTTAAAAGTCTATCAAGTGGGGAGAGTCCTTACTCATTGCCATCCAATTCCGACTCACAGTAACCCTGTCGGACAGAGTAGAACTGCCCTTGGGGGTTTCCAAGGCTGTCCATCTTTATGGGAGCAGACAGCCTCCTGTTTTTATCCCACCAAGCGGCTGGTAGTTTCGAACTACTGACCCTGTGGTGAGCAGCCCAACTTGTAATCCAGTGCACACACCACCAAAGCTCTTAGGGTAGAATAGGGACACGCGGAAGTTTTTATTTATTGGTAAATTCAAAACGCCAACTACGCCAAAGACCGGCAAACAACCAAACCAAACCCACTGCCGCTGCAATGATGCTGCCTCATACTGACCGTGGACAGAGGAAAACTGCCACTTTGGGCTTTCTGAAGCTCTACGTCTTTACAAGAGGAGAACGCCTCGTCTTTCTCCTTGGGAGCAGCTAGTGAAGTTGAACTGGTGACCTTGCAGTTAGGCGCCCAGTGCAGCACACGGCCAGGGGGCCTTGATGCCAGATGAGCCGTGGCTAAGGAGAGTCTCCCGTGGGTAAAAGGTAGCTCACAGGAACATAATCAGGATGCGTGACCTTTTGTGACTGGAAAGAAAAGCTTACATGATTTGGATGTGGTTTTGGTTTTTTTCTTTTGAATACTACATGCCAAATGTACCCCACCAACCCCCAATTTTTTTAAACACATCCAAATGTGTAAGTATATAGATTTTTTTCCAGCCACAAAAGGCCTTGGATCCTGATCGTGTTCATGTGAGCTAGCTTTTACCTGCGGGAGACTCTCCCTAGACAAAGCACGTGCTCCCACACAGCTGATGGAGAAATCGTCTAAGTATGGAGCGCGGCCGTGTAGACCGCCACTGGAAGTGATGCTCATAGCGTGATTGGGTGATCCCCGAGGACACCAAATAGTCTTTCTGAAGCCCGCGGACACGGACATGTAACAAAGGCACAGGCAAGGCTGGAGCAGAGACGTTTGTGAGGGACTGAGCTGCACAAAGCAGAGCCAGTGGAGATTTGAACCTCCTGTTGACTAAATTGTAGCGAAATTACAAGCCACAGCCCTCGATTCCAGTGACTTCTTTACGCTGCAAAACAGCCATTGCCTTGAGGAAAGGACACTTAGGCCCCACACACTGGGTAATGGTCACGGAGGGAGTCGGTCACACACTGTGTGCTCGTCCTTTCCAGGAATACAGAAGAACAGCGGAGGCAAACCATGGACGAAGTGTATCAGATTGCTTCCACAGAAAGCGTCCAGCTGTTGGAGAGGGAGCTGGCTGTGCAGCTGGCAGAGCTGAAGGCCGAGATAGAAGAACAGGGGCCTCTGCAGGGGACAGCTCCTGGAGTCTCCAGGTAAGTAAGAAGTGATGGGGTGATGGTGTGGTCTTTGGGGGTTCTGGGGGCTCTCCATCAACTCTGTTCTTTTCACTTGGACTGTTGGCATTACGTCAAGGTAGTGCAAATGGTCAATTACGCCAGGTTCAAGTGCCCCTTTCCAACCTGACTGCTGCCCCTGAGGTTTCCCTATATTCCAGAATTGGATGAGGCTGATGGAGGGAATGTCCTCCCGAAGAACAGGGACACAACTGCCATCGTCTTGAGCTCCAGAAGTTATTAGCGAGTGAAGAAAGGGGTCTCCTTTTACCCAATAGCATGTGAATGAGACGTGCCCTTGGGTTTTGATGAGCATTTTTAAAAAGGATGTAATATTGGACATTTGGTAATAAATTCGGCCCAAAAGATGTTGTGAGAAGGCCTTCTAAGGGTAGATGCTAAGGACTGTAATCCAGTTGTTTTTTTCTAGGGAAACAGTGTAGCCTCTATGTGGAAAGACTCATGGGCCTGGAATGTTCTTATTCTCTGTTTCTGTTAATTCCCATAATCAATCTGGAGGAACAATATGAGGTCTTTGCTCAGTTGAGTAGTTGTGTAAACACAGCCTGAGTGGTGAGGGATGAGGAGGGAAAATCAGGGCACAGCAGGTACATTAGCATTCATTCCCAAGACTAGTATTAATTTGTTTTATAAGAAGCAGCTAAGTGGAGCTACCTTAATACCACCTTCCTAAGATGATTCTGGAGAACAAATGTTTACTGTGTGTTAGGATTGTTTTTTTAGATTTTTTTTAATCATCTTATTAGGGGCTCATGCAACTCTTACCACAATCCATACATACATCAATTGTGTAAAGCGCATTTGTGCATTCATTGTCCGCATCATTCTCAAAACATTTCCCCTCCACTTAAGCCCCTGGCATTAGGTCCTCATTTTCCCCCTCCCTCCCCGCTCCCCCGTCCCTCATAAGCCCTTGATAATTTTTTTTAGAGGCAATCTTTATATGATTTTAATAGACTAATTAGAAGAAACAAATGTCACAAAATATTCATTACCTATTAAGATGTGATATCAAATAATTTCTTAATTTACATTTTCCAAAGCATGGGAAGCATGACAACTATGAGTTTAATTAGCTTGATTTGATAGATTACATCTTCAAAATAAGGTTATATATCATCCAAACAAATCATTTTCTTTGAGTTTAAAATTTATATATGAGGTATCAACATTCTTATTGTAGAGCTGTTAGGTTATGTTATGATTAGAAAAAAGACCTTTGTTTTAGTTTTTGAAGATATTCTTTTTTTGCACTCCTTTTTTTTAACATTTTATTAGGGGCTCATACAACTGTTATCGCAATCCATACACATTTCAATTGTGTAAAGCGCATTTGTACATCATTCTCAAAACATTTTCTCTTCACTTAAACCCCCGACATTAGGTCCTCATTTTTCCCCTCCCTCCCCGCTCCCCCTTCCCTCATGAGCCCTTGATAGTTTATAAATTGGTATTTTGTCATATCTTGCCCTGTCCAACGTCTCCCTTCACCCACTTTTCAGTTGTCCGTCCCCCAGGGAGGAGGTCACATATAGTTCCTTGTAATCGGTTCCCTCTTTCCTACCCACTCTCCCTCTACCCTCCCTGTTTCGCCACTCACACCACTGGTCCTGTAGGGCTCATCCGCCCTGGATTCCATGTATTTTCAGTTCCTATCTGTACCAGTGTACATCCTCTGGTCTAGCCAGACTTGCAAGGTAGAATTCATATCATATTTGTGGGAGCGGGGAGGAAACATTTAGGAACTAGAGGAAAGTTGTATTTTTTCATCGTTGCTACATCGCCCCCTGACTGGCTCGAGAATTTTGTATTTAAGGTCTTTGAACATATAAAACAAACCAAGGATTGTATGTTGAAGAAGAAAGACATAATCACATAGTTTCTTTACAAGGTTGGTGGTTCAAGTCCACCAGCCACTCCTTGGGAGAAAGATGAGGCTGTCTATTCCAGTGAAGATGTATAGTCTCAGAAACCCTGCGCAGGGTTGCTATGAACCAGAATCCGTTTGATGACACTGGGTTTGTTTTTGTTTTTCTCGTCTGAAAATGAGGTTTAAAGTTTCTGTCTTGCCTACCTCAAAAGGTTATAAAGATTAAATGAGATCATGCATACTAGGAAATTTGGAAACCAGAAAACTCCATACCGAGGTGAAGTGTTGATACTATTGCAAGTGCAAGGGCAGAGCCTGGGGTAGCTTATACCCCTGTGTTAAGACTTCCTGGGCTCCGGACTCCCTGTTAGGACAGAGTGATGGAAGAATCTTGAAGTGCCTATGGTCATCCACTCCCCAAATCCACCACACGCCACACCTGCAGGAAAGGAAGTCTTCATCTAATAAATACTGACTGAGCACCATCTGTTAGCCAGGCACAGTGCTAGGTTCGGGAGGCCAAGGGAACTGGAAAATAGCCTGTGCTAGTCTGCGTTGCCTAGAGAAACAAATCCAGAGACACTCATATGTGTATAAGAAAGAGCTTTATATCCAAGAGCAATTGAATACTGAGAAAACATCCCAGCCCAGTCCAGAAGTCTCTTTAGCACCTCCAAATGAGGTCATCAAGCTGTGACCTGCTTGACAGCCTAAACTCCACTCCTTCCCTCTTAAGTCTCAAATTGATAACAGATTATGTAACTACCACAGTAGCCCATGCTGACCCTCACGTGAGCACTCTCCTTCACCTCTAGCCTGAGACTGCAGCTGGGCGCAGGAAGGTGGCTGCGGCAGTCACCTGTCATTCCCATCGTTCCTTTCCCCACATGCCCAGCAGCTCAGAGTGCTGAATGGATACCCAACCACAGCGACACCAACCTCACTGCCCTGGAGTCGGTGCCAACTCATGGCGACCCCATGGGACAGGGTCAAGCTGCCCCTGCGAGTGTCCAGCACTGTAACTCTTCCTGGAGTGGAAAGCCTCATTTTCCTCCTGTGGAGCAGCGGGGGGTTGCACACTGTTGACCTTTCAGTCAGCAGCCCACCGTGTAACCACGGTGCCGCCAGGGCCACAGAACGGGGCTTGCAGAACAACTGAATGAGTCCGTTTTGGGGGGTTCACAACCTCTTTCAGGTCCCTCACAAGCACCGCTAGGCTAACAGAGGGGAAAGAGGCAGTCTGAGGGAGAAAGAGTGGAAGGAGCTAGGTGACCTCACCGTCCAGTGTGCCACAGCATTAGAAGACAGGAGGCGAGGCTGAGTGGAGGACGAGGGCCGCTCGACTTCTCTTCCTGCCTGTGGCATAGCTGACCCCTTTTCTGGCCACTGCTTGTCCACCTCCATGGGGCTGCAGGTAGGACCCAGGTGCCCAGCCATCACAGAAACTATGCTGTTCACTTCTGAATGCCTTTCCTCTCCAGGGCTTTTCCAAGCTGCCTGCAGTCTTGCCAGGAGAGAAGGGAGGCAGTGCCTCCACCAGGAGATGGGGGATGGGGCGGAGTGGCGGAATAAGGCTGCCTGGGCTCCCGTGGCGAGGGAGCTCCCCCCTGCCCACACAGTGCTCTTTCCCCCCGAATTTCTGACCTGTACACAATCTCATCATGTATTTGCAACTTTGCTTAAACCTTATCCACAGAAACTGGTCGGGTGGTGTTAACACTGTTGACATGAACCAAAGTGTCACTGGCTCCAATCCCCTTCAGAATCGCTCAGTGGTCTCTCACATGGCCCAGAACCACCTGCAGTGGCCTCCTCACCCACCTCTGCTGAATCCCATCTTGAGAAAGTGAGGTCCACGCTAGGATTGCTGTCCCCTGATGTTGCCAAAGCCACTAACCAAGAAGGATTTTATACCAGAAGGCCAGAGCTCCCTCTTTCACCACCCTGGGTCCTGCCCTTTCCCTCCGGGTCCCCTCTGCAGTGCTGCATGTGCCTTGTGTTCTCAGGGCCTGTTGTGAACACAGGTCCCTCTCTGCTGGGTTTCAACACAGGTCCAGGAGGCCGCTTACAGACACTTGTCATGTGTTTCCTAAGAGTTTCGTTAGGCGCTCTGGTGGCATAGCGGTTACAATTTGGCCTGCTAGCCTCCAAGTCAGTAGTTCAAAGCCACCAGCCACTCCTCGGAGAAAAATAAGGCTTTCTACTCCTATCAAGAGTCAGTGTCACTTTATACAATTGATGTGTGTATGGATTGTGATAAGAGTTGTATGAGCCCCTAATAAAACGATTAAAAAAAAAAAAAAGAGAGAGTCTCGAAAAACCCACAGGGGCAGTTCAACCTGCCTGTAGGGATGCCAGGAGTCGGAGCTGACTGTGAGTGACTGGCAGTGAGATTGGTTTGGGTTTTAAAGAGTTTTGTTAATTATCCAGAAACTTTGGTTAAAATAGTTTCCAAAATATTCCACATTTGATTTTTAAGGGCCATTTTCATCCCAGGGAACAACGGGGCAAGAACACCAACATGAAACCTGTGGTGTTGCAATGATAAGACAGTGGCTTTAGGGGCCATCCGTGTTGAGATAGAGGCCTGATCATTGAGAGAGGTCCTAGTTAGAGATCCATCACTAAGGGCAATGATCGCTTTCGCCACTGTCAACATGCGCCCCTCTCTGCACCCTAGAATTTCTCAGGCAAACCAAAGGCAGGAGGGCACACAGGGTGTGGAGAGAAGGCAGAGGATACTGGCCCCAGGAAAGGAAGGCTTAGCAAGTGCTGAAGTGTCCACAAGAGATTTTGACCAAGACAGAAGCAGGTGACCTTTCCACGCCCCCTAACCATCCATTATGCTGTGAGAATACTTATTCAGAAATGAGCAGTTGCCTCTAAGTCACGATGAATCGGGACCTACCTGTGGTCTGCATCTCTTACGGCTTCTCCATCTTCCTCCATGGTAGCTCTGTTCGGGTACCGAAGGACGTTTCTTACTTTCGAAGAGAAAGGGAACTGGCATTAAAAAAGATCCTCCAGGTGAGTGGGAGAATGGGCGATGACTATTTCAAACCAACAGAAACTTAGATTGGGATACGTTATGGAAAACTCTCAGCTGGGAAAGTTTAATTTTGCAAACAAACAGCTGACGTGTCTGACTGGTTCCAAATTCAAAACAGCCCCCGAATCTGCTCACAGCAGAAGCAGAGGAGTGTCCTAGCTCCACAGGAGAAAGATGAGGCTGTTTGCACGTACAAAGATTACAGTCTCAGAAACCCAAGGGGGTCGTTCTACCCTGTCCTGAAGGGTGGCTATGGGTCAGAATTCCCAAGACAGCAGTTTTGAGTCTTGATTTGTGATGTTAAAATTAGTCATTTGACAACCGATTCCGATACAATAGCCTCTCACGTGGTGTGTAAAAGCTACAAGAAACTGCGTAGTATGTTCTGTCACAAGCACTGATGGTTTTATTTCCCCATTTCCTTCTGTATGCCTGGCGCTCAGGTGGCCGAGGCAAAGCCCCTTGTTGTTCAGGCTGATGTCATGCAGAGGGAGCTAGAGAGCTGCCTAAGAAGGGAGTACACCCCTGAAAATTTACCTTTGCTTCTGTTGCAGGTAGGAATCTTTTTGCAATTTGAAAACTAGATCTGGAATCTAGTAGAAACGCGTGACTAAAGCTGGCTTTCAGGGTAACTTCTAGTCAGGGCAGGGTTTCCCTTTACCTGGTGTGTTAGGTCAGGTGGACTAGAGAAACCAATTCACTGACGCTCATACAGGCATACGATATGCATATGCACTGTGCACTATCTATATGTATATGTACGTACCACTCCATAAGTCCCTCTTCACCCTCAGCCAGCCACATGCAGTGATGCAGATGCAGGAGGATCACAGGGCAGTGGGTGCAGAGTTGTGGACAGGATCCAAGATCTGTAGAAATAGGAGCTCCCAGGGTCAGTGGCAGAGATGGGGGTGGGGTGGGGGTGGGGGTGGGGAGGGGTGGGAAGGTTCCCAGGACCATACCTAATAAACAAACCCATCCCCCCAAGGAGGCGCCATCAGGCTGTGACCTGATTGACAGGTCTGAGTCCTCCCTTAGCCAAAAGTACCTAGTTGACACAGCATCACCTGACTATCACGCCCGGGTAGTTCGCACGTATGAGAACATGGTTCGTGTAAATGCTGCTCTTTGTCAGAGACTTGGGGCATCACAGTTCAGTTCGGTTTCGTTCAAGTCACTCAACAGTTGACCGAGTTGCTTCTAAATACTCTGCTGGGCTAGTATTAAGGGACAAGAAAACATTGACTAAGTCCCAGTCCTTCAAAATCTAGGCTTAGTGACCTGAGGACAGGCATTTCTGGAAACATCCCATGGTGGCAGCATTGCAATTGTTAAGACAAAAGTCTTATTAAGCCAGTCATAGAAATAGATGGAAGATTATTTACTTAATGAATTATTTGCAAACCAGGTCACACACCCCACTAGAGCGTAAAAAAATATTGTTCCAAAGAAGAAAAATGCCTCACAGTTTCTTATACAGCAGTTTAATGGAGCCTGGTGGCTCAGTGGTGGAAGCACTCAACTTCTAACCACAAGATGAAGGGTTCAAACCCACCAGCTACCCTTTGGGAGAAAAGTGTGGTTGCCTGGTTCCATAAAGGTTTACAGCTTCGGCACCCTTATGGGACAGTTCCACTCTGTGCTTTAGGATCCATTCAACCGCAGTGGAGTAGTTACACCCAGCTTATCGCTGGTAACTACACATCGACATGGGAACAGGGCCAGGATAACATGTGGATGTGCGACATTGGATGTCCGACATTCTCCTGAGGACTCATTCTCGTCGCACACACTCAATGTAGCTGAAAACCCACGGACATTGAGTCAATTCTGACTTCGCGGTTTTCCGGGGATCTTTATGGGAGCAGGAAGCCTCATCTTTCTTTCAAGATGTTCCTGGTGGGTTCAAACCTATGATCTTGCAGTCAGAAGCCCCAGCCATAACACAGCACGCGACCAGGGCCCCGTCAGTGTTACCCAAGTTGCCTAGAAAGATCTTAAAAACTATCTTTAGGCTGACATCGCACAAAACTGAAAATGCCCCCGGAGTTCATGTTGCATGTCCCCTCTGTCATTTCTGCCTCGGTTTCTTTCACTGATGGTTCTCCTGGTTATGTGCCCCCTTTTCCTAAATTTTTATTGGATGCTGAATTTTGCATTGTTGAGCACTGGGTTTTCTTGTATTCCTTTCAAGAATGCTACCCTTTGATTTTGACAGACAGTTAACTTCCTTCCAGGTCAACTTGATTCTTCAAGGCTTGTTTTCATGTTTCTTGGGAGTGGGTTTGGACTAATCTCTGTCCCATGATAGTTTATCATTATCACGAAAGCGATGTAGATGCCGACTGCCTCAGATATTCGGGCTCTTTGTTCTGGCTGGTTGGAACTGGATTCTCTCCCAGCTTTGTATAAACCCGAGACCTGTTCCGTGGACCATGCCCTGACCTTGTGGGTATTCTTTGCCTGCGCTCCTGGGATTTCACCCTCTGGAGGCACAGCTTAGTGTACAGCCACAGCCTGCTGGGACTGCTGTACAAGGCCCCGCAGAGTGCCCTCTGCAGAGCTTCCTCCTCACGTGTCCCCCGCTCTGTGGGGTCCAGGCCGCCAGCCTTCTCAACTGTCCATCTCTCTCTCCAACTTCGAGAAACCATCGTGCTCTGCTTGGGTCATCTTTCCGGCTCCCAGCTCAGAAACTACCTCAGGCAAAAACCCAAACATCTGGTTCCCCGAGTTGACTTCCCTTCTCTCAGGGGTCCCAGTTCAGCCTTGTCAATTGTCCAGCATCCGAAAACCATCACCTTGTGGATTTTGTCTATTTTTCTAGGTGTTTAGGATACATAACCTGGTCTAGTTATTTCTGCAAAGCCAACATTATTTCTGTGATTAGGAAGAAGGCATTTAAGAAGAGTGCTTATTCATTTTTAAGTATAGATATAATTTATTAGCCAAGATGAAAAGCTCTAATTTTACCTGTGAGCTGTTTAGTACTGTAGACTCACAACTTAATTTTCCAAATTTAGCTTAACTTTCAACCCAGCAGACTGAACATTGTAGCCGTGATATAGAACCCTGTCAAGCTGTTGAAAGCTAAGCTAAAGTTAGAAAATCCATCTTTTGAAAACAACCACGAACTATCCTGCTAGTAAAGCTGTTATGCCTGGAGTTGCTAACCACAAAGTCAGCAGTTCGAAACCACTGGCTGCTCCGTGGGAGAATGACAAGGCTTTCTCCTCCATAAAAGGTTAGAGTCTCACCCAAAATCCACTTAAAGGGTTCACATATCCCCCAAATCCACTTACAGGGTTCACACCTAGATTAAGCCTCTGATGAAACCCCTCTGACCACAGCTGAGGGATGCGAAGAGCCTTGTTATCAGACCAAACTCAAACCAAACTCACTGCCACTGAGTCCATGCTGGCTCATCGTGACCCACTGTGGAGTTCTCAGACTGTAACTGGTCATGGGAGTAGAAAGCCCAGTCTTTCTCCTGAGGAACTGCTGGTGGTTTTGAACTTCTGACTGTGCAGATCACAGCCCAACACCACACCACCAGAATTCCCTTGTTATCACACAGAGAGCATTATAAAGTTGGTGATGGTAATTATAGTTAGATTAAAGTGCAATATCTTATCATCTGACCTCCCTTTTGACCCATTTAAAAGTTGTGTCAGTTTAAAAAAAAAAGAGAGTGAAGGGTAAATACATGTGGATTCAGTTTCCTCCGACAGTAGGCCTGGGGTGTAACAAGCCTTGCTGTCATGCAAAGTGCATTGGAAAGTGGATCATTGCAGCTATAGTTAGGTTAACATAACATTTAACACCTTATCTTTGATCACCTTAACTTTGTTCTAGTTTTTAATATTTTCAACTTTCTTTTCAATTGAGGTTTTAATCTATTTTACTTTGTTATTGTTGTTAGTTTTGCTGCTATTGTTTTTGTATGTTTCTCTGTATATGAAATCCAGGATAGATAAATCTACAGAGGCAGTAGCTAGATTAATGGTTCCTTGGGGGTGTGGCAGGGAAGGCTGGGGAGGGGGGGAAATGGGTTGCTAATAACAATGAGTGCAAGAAAGAAAAAAATGTTCTAAAATTGACTGTGGTAATGATTGTACAACTCTTCTTGATATGTGGATTATGTGCTGATAAAACTGTTTACAAAAGGAGACAAAAAAGTGTTAGTCTTGGAAATCCACAGGGGCAGTTTCTACCATGACCTATAGGGTTGCTATGAGTTGGAAATCGACTCAGTGGCATTGAGTTGAGTCTTTTTAAGATTTAAAAAAAAATCATTTTATTAGGGGCTCATTCAACTCTTATCACAATCTATACATACATCAATTGTGTAAAGCGCATTTGTACATTCATTGCCCTCATCATTCTCAAAACATTTCCTCTCCACTTAAGCCCCCAGCATTAGGTCCTCATTTTTCCCCTCCCTCCCCACTTCCCCCTCCCTCATGAGTCCTTGATAATTTATAAATTATTATTTTGTCATATCTTGCCCTGTCCGACGTCTCCTTTCACCCACTTTTCTGTTGTCTGTCCCCCAGGAAGGAGGTCACATATAGTTCCTTGTAATCGGTTCCCTCTTTCCTACCCACTCTCCCTCTACCCTCCCTGTTTCACCACTCACACCACTGGTCCTGTAGGGCTCATCCGCCCTGGATTCCCTGTATTTTCAGTTCCTATCTGTACCAGTGTACATCCTCTGCTCTAGCCAGACTTGCAAGGTCGAATTCGAGTCATGGTAGTGGGAGCGGGGAGGAAACATTTAGGAACTAAAGGAAAGTTGTATTTTATTCAGTCTTCCTGCGACTGTGGTCTTCAGCTGTTTATTTTGTTCTTGTTCTTGCTGCCCCCGCTGGTGAAGCACTACACAGAGCGGATGGCCCAGCTGGCCCAGAGCAAGTACTTGCACATGCTCAGGTGGAAGAGGTTTTGCCAGCACAGTAAGATCATGGAGCAGCTCCATCCTTTGTACCAGGTACGAAGCCTTTGAACAAATGTTCCTGCGGGTGGTTTCTCATCAAGGAGTAAACAGGCAGTAGGCTCACCAGTTTTTTAAGTCGTGGCTAGAGATGGGAAAGGAACTAGCAGGTGGACCTACTGGCCTGGCCTGCCTGGGGCGGATGATAATGGGACCACTTGCTGAAGGAGGTTTTGTGCGATAGGAAATATCTTTTTCTCCACAGCACAGACTGGGCTTCCCCTGCCATAGGGTGAAAGCTCCTAAGTGGACTCCAGTGACGAAACAGCCTGACATGCTGAAACGTTGCTGGAGACCCTCATTTCCACCTCCTAATGGGACCACTGCCCTTCTCCATCAAATTCAGAATGTGGGAGAACTTTGGGATTTCTAGAAGCCCTTACTGAGCCCCCAAGCAGCATCATTCCTCTCTGTTCGGATGCCATGATACGGGAGACTACGACTTACAAAGAGCCAAGTTCCTTGTCTGTATCTCTCCTAAACAGAAACAAGTTGGCTACATCATGCGGGAGTACAATGACACCATTCACAGAGCAGAAAGGCTGTCTGTGGCCCGAGAAAACTTCCTCATGGGAAAAAGCAATCCTTCTAATTTAGTGACACAGGAAGACTTGACTATTTACACAAGGTGGTTCGTGTGTCACCTGCACTCTCTCAAGACGATTCATCATTACCTGCAGGTGAGAATCATGAAACATAATTGTGCAACGAGATAGCACCCTGCTAGGAATGGCCGCCCAATGTTTTCTCATACCTGTCACCTAGCATGGGGTTGTTAACATTTCTGTCTTCTACCAGCCTTACCAACTACAGGAACAATAATGAGCCATTGACTTTTTCTTCAAGATCTTTTCAGATGAACTTGATCTTATTCTAATAAAACCATTTTATTAATTTTTATTCACTGTGCTCGTTCATGTTTTCATCATCTTGTTCAGGATTTATGCTCTCAAATATAGATTCATATTTTTTATTTTATTCATTGTGGGGTACCAGCCCCCACAACCAGCCCAAGGTGCAGTTGTGTAATTGAGGGGTAAATTAAAGAGACAGGATAAAGCATGCAAGGGCTCCCCTTTATAGTCATGACTCCAGGAGCCAGGTCCACACAAAGGCTTAAATACTCTAGGGGGCATGCAAGCCCCCCTAATTATGGGTAACTGTAATAAAGTGGGCTGTACCCTAACCCTAAAGGTCCCTGAGTACATTGGAGGAGCAACCTAACAGCAGTGTCAGGGGCAGGTAAGGAGAAGTGGCTGTTTCAGAGCCTACAGAGCAATAGCACGAGTCTGCTCCCTCCTATCATTAAAGCTACAGGCTAGATAGCAATGAGCCTTGTGCTTGTAAGAGGTAACTTTAAGGCAGCACTATTATGGGAGGCTATAGTGGGGAACAATATTAATTATGAGAATGTGATTGGGACTCACTGCCAATGCACAAGGTGAAGGCCTCCCTCCACCCCAGAAACCCAGCCTGCCAGGCTTCTTAATATATGAGAATAAAGGATCATCTGTATACACTCTCTTCCCATTCATCAGTAATATTGAATTAGCTTCTTGAATGCACCAGGTACTTGCCTCTGGCCGTGCAACAAGGATATGGTCTTTGCTGCAAAGGACCTGGGTCCTAAGCTGGTAGGACAATGGTCAAGTAAATATTCAACAGGAACCCAATGTGATAAGAGAAATTAGAGTAAGTGTGTGTTTACAGGGTAAACTGAGGCACGCAAGAGTGGCCCTAACCTGGCTAGAGGCATCAAAAAATGATGACATTTTCATTTTAGAAAGACTCTTATTTACCACCTAAATGCGTGGCTTCTCCTCTCAGCTTTGTCCCAGCAGCACCAACATCCATAGTTACCCCAGAAACCTGGCCATTGTCCTTGGTGTCATCCTTCCCCGACTCCAGCCATTCATGGCCAAGGTCCCTCTGGTGGCTCCCGAGTCGCATGGTGTTGTAATGACCTACTTGTCAGTCTGTGAACTCTTTGAGGTTGGCCCATATCTCATTCCTCATGGTATCACGAATACACCCCCACATTGCCTTGTCCATTAGAAGTGCTTGATCAGTCTCAACCCGTTACCATCAAGTCAATGTCAACGTGCAGCGACCCTATTGGATAGGGTAGAACTGCCCCTGTGAGTTTCTGCGACTGACTGTTTACAGGAGGAGAAAGCCCCATCTTTCTCCCTTTGAGCAGTCTACACTTGGCTAATATTAAGGGCACTGGCGTTGGTAACAGCATCTCGTCTGGAGGCGAAGTCCAGACTGAGCCTCTTATGTTTGGATAGATTACTGAGGTCCACCTACCTCCTTCCTTCTCACTCAAAGCAAAAGGTTGCTTCTGAATCTGTCTAGAAGCTTTTGTGCTGTTTGAGTTCATGTGTGGGCTCTTGGTTGTACCCTTGTGTAGGCCCTCCAGTATTTGCCCATCTCCAAGGTACTGAGTGTAACTGCGGACAGACTCCCTGAGGTTGGTCCAGACAACGAAAAGGACATTGGCCCTGACATCCAAAGCTCTGCTTCTCCAGGCCCAACAGGCACCGACACCTCCGGTAAGGATTTGGTCTTCTCGCACCAGGGAAACAGAAAGGGAGAGTGTGATTTTTGTCCTATGTGTTGAAGTTGGTTGTTGCTGTTTTACACTCTGAAGAGTTCATCACTTCTTCATAAACAAGCCCTGATGTGATCTTTTCTAATGTGAAGCACAGTAAGCACTTCCCATGGACATTTTAAACTATCTTAATAACTGGTACATTTAGATCTGGGAAAGAGCAATGGACTTAATGTCAAGAGTACTGGGCTCCAGATGTGTCACTGCCTGGGCCTCATGGGGGCCTGCAGGTTTAGGTCATTTCATCTCCTGGGACCCCCAATTTACTCATCTCCAAAATAAATTGGTTCTATTACATGGCCTCTGCGGCCCCTCTCAGTTTTAATACGATATGCTTTTAAAAGAATTTCCCCTTATGAATCAATTTACTACAGTTTTCCTACTGCATCATAGATGCCTAGGAAACTTCAAAAGAGCCCAGGTGGCAATGTGAATTAAGCCTTGGGCTGCTAACCCACAAGGTCAGCAGTTCGAACCCACCAGTCACCCTGCAGAAGAAAGATGAGGCTTTCTGCTCCCATGAAAATGGACAGCCTCAGAAACGCAAAGGGGGGAGTTCTATTCTGTCCTGTCCCGTTGCTATGAGTCAGAATTGACTCAATGGCAGTAAGTATGGCTCTTGGATGAAACTTTGTCAAGTTTCTACTGTGAATGACATACTGGCTTGGGGATATGTCCAGGGTGTCACAAGAGCACCTGGGAGGGGCAACCAGCCCAGTCATGAGCAGTAGAGAAGGTTTCTGGAAGAAAAGAGTCCAACTGGGTCCTTCTAGATGAGAGGGAATTAGCCAGAAATGGTGAGAGGTGAAAATTCTCACTTTCTGATGTTTCAGTTAACATGTAAGCCATAGTTTTCATCAGGCAAAAAGGACTATCAACAGTGATACTTCTGCTAACTCATGCTCCACAGGGTCTGTTGGGTTTCTTCTGCAATCTGGGAGAAGGTGAGGGGTCTTTGTGCCGCTCACAGCCAGCCAGCACCAACCATTCGCCGTGTATTCCCTGCCCAAGAAGACAAGGCAGGGAGCAAAACGGCCATCCAGCGGTCCTGCCTCAGCGATCCGTAAGGAGCTGTCCGTTTTCTCTGTCGTGCATTTGTCTTGATGCATTCCACTTTGCATTCTTTCAGGGACAACGAGGTCACGAGCTACTTTCCTCCTGCCCCAACACACAGCGGAACTAGGAGACGTGAAACCCCAGCTGAAGCGCCTGCTCTTCCATTACAGCATCCCATTTGACGTGGAGGAGCTGAGGGACTCGGCTAAGGAGATGGAGCTGTTGTCCTTGGTACTTACTTGATGGGCTCCTTCGTAACACAACTCTCGATGTGCGTGCAATAACACACTGGTAGTGGCCACCACGTTGGATATGTACACTGACAACAATGATTTCTTAAGAGATAAACATATGCACGTAAAACAAAAGGTATTGTTCCTCAGTGCCGGTTCCTACATGTTTTATTCTGAGCAAAATGTGTTTCGACATGCCTCTATGACTAGTCTTTGTTTCATGAGGGTGACTTCCCCAAAAATGGCCAATCAAAAATAAGAGGCTTCCGAGGAAATGGGCTGGGCCAGTTAAGTTCAAGGCAGAGCGGTCAGACTGGTTTTTGGGTTCCAAAGGATTCCGCTGGGAAGAGTTCCTGGAAATATACTGAGGCATCACAAGGGTTGCCGCCGAGGGCATTTTCAGAAAAAGGACAGGAAGTTGCGTCTAGGAATTCCACCCCCATGATGACAACGTGCCCATTCACTCTTTGAAGACAGCCAGGGCTGACCTACAAGGATTTCGGTGGAAACTTTACCACAGTTACCCAACAACCCTGATCTTGCTCATTCAGACTTCTTTTTGTTTCCCAAACTGCACATTTGACAGGAATTGGAGCAGAGCCACGGGAGGGTCCCCAAACTGCCATAGTCATCGGGTGTGAAGGAAGAGCCCGCATTTCTTCTTCGAAGATGGCAGCACCAGCCCCCAAAGGAGATACACCTAGAGGGGCGTATTCAGAAACAGGAGTTGCGTGTTGTCATGTTTTTACTTAGTAAAGGTTTCTAAGATTTTAAAGCAATACTTTTTAAATGGGTCTTAGCTTAGTGCTGTGCAAGAGTAAGGCGTCCACAGGGATTTTTCTTTCTACAGAATTTAAAGAAAAAAAATGTAGGCTACAGTTCATATTCACTGATGTAAATGTGGTCACGATTTGGAAAGGTTGTACAGCGAAGCTCTTAGTGCCCAAACCCCTCTACTTCTCAGAACATGTTACAACATCGCTCCTTACAGCTTAAGCCTCTGCAATCAAGGGAGCGGACACTGTCATGTGCTCTGCTTCACCGCAGTGTTGCCCCTCCTTAAAAATTAAAGCAACTCATCTGATCAAAAGTGCACTATTTTTTAAAGAGAAATATTTCAACAGAAAACAATTATAGGTAGAGAGTTTCAGAATTGCAGTAGCATATTTTATAGCAAGAGTTTCAACAATCAAGATATTTTCCTTGTTCTAACCCACTGCCCTCTGGTCCATGTGACTTCTAGCAACCCTTGGGGCTCCACAGGACTGCCCAATGAAAACCCAGCCCGCTGCCGCCGCACGGGAGTCTAATCTGACTCAGCGACCCTAGGGCACAGGGTAGAACTGCCTCTGTGAGTTCCCCAGACTGTAACTCTCTCCCTTTTAAAACTGCGAGCTCTTACTGATAGCATAATATTCTACTGTTCATTCCTATCAAGCAGTATTATACAATTGCTACCACAATCAGTTTCAAAACATTTTCTTTCTTCTTGAACTCCTTGATATCAGCCCCCCTTTGTTCCCTCCCTCCCTCCCTCACCATACCCTCCACCTTCTTTTTCTTCTTCTTCTTCTTCTTCTTTTTTCTATAATAGGGTTTGGAGGGTTTTTTTTTTGTGTGCCAATGTTTACACAATCCTATCAATCCATTCACATATGATCCTGTCGTTTGACCTCATCGAGTGGGGTTATTCAGTCATCAAGGCTACCAGCTCCCCCTTCCTCCTCCCCCGTCCCCCTTCTCTCTTCCTGTACCCTCAGGGAACCATTACTCCTGTTACTGTTTCTGAAGGGTTATCTGTCTTGACTTTCATGTACTGAACAATCTTAAATATACAGATAAACATATGCAAATCGAACATGCTTAGTGAGATAAAACAAATAAAAGTCATAATAGTAAAGGGAGGAAATATTAGAGAACTAAAGGATAGTTATGTGTTTCGTCACTGTCATATCACACCCTGGATTATCATCCCTTTCATGTGGCCCTTCTGTGAGGGACTGTACAATTATCTTACAGGTGGGTTTGGGGTCTCCACCACATCCACACCCATTCACATGGATTTGGTTGCTAGTTTTTGAACTTCTGATAACTCCTCCTGTGGACATCTTATGATCACACAGGCTGGTGTGCTTCTTCCATGTGGGCTTGTTGCTTTCCTGCTAGATGGCTACTTGTTTAACTACAAGCCTGTAAGACCCCAGATGCTATAGCTTGTAATAGCCAGGCACCATCAGCTTTCCTCACTACATTTGCTTATGGACCCATTTTGTCTTCAGCGATCATGTCAGGAAGGTGGGTATCATACAGTGCCACATTATTAGAACAAACCGTTCTTGAACTGAGCTAAGTTTAAGTACAGAACCAACCCAGACTGTAACACTTTGCAGAAGTAGAAAGCCTCATCTTTATTCCACATACCAGCTGGTGGTTTCAAACTGCTGACCTTGTAGTTAGCAGCTCAATATGCAACCCACTATGCTACACAGGTTATGTATCTTGACAGATGCCATTGCAAATGGCCTCATCTTTCTCCTGCAGAGAGGCTGGTGGGTTCAAACGGCTGACCTTTTTAGTGTTTATCCCTGTATTGTACACCAGATCTATTTTTGCAGCATAGAAGTGGTCAATAGATTGGTCTAAACCAGTGGTTCTCTACCTTCCTAAAGCTGTGACCCTTTAATACAGTTTGTCATGTTGTGGTGACCCCTCCAACCATAAAATTATTTTCATTGCTACTTATCACTGTAATTTTGCAGCTGTTACGAATCAGGAGATCCCTGTAAAAGGGTCGTTCGACTCCCAAAGGAGTCGAGATCCACAGGTTGAGAACGGCTGGTGTAAAGGAAGAGAGTAATCCCTAAGAGGGAGAAGAGGGATCAAAAAGCAGGTGAATGGTCCTGTTTGGGGGATGCTGAGAGCTAATTTAAATGGTTGACTATAAAGTTGATAATTCAGAATGCAATTCCCCTACTAATTTACGACAACACATAAATAAACAAAAACAGAAACTACATTAGATATTACGTATTTCCAGTCATTGGAGCAGCCATTCAGAACAAGCACCACACACAAGACTGTGGTACTAAGCTGCCACAAACAACAAGCGCTCACTGCCCTCCAGTCATGGCCACTCACAGAGACGCAACAGCACAGGATGGACCTGCCCCTACGAGTTTCCCAGACTACACTCTTCACGGGGTAGAAAGCCCCATCTTTCTCCTGAGGAGTGGCTGGTGGTTTTGATCTGCTGACCCTGCAGATTACAGCCCAATGCATAACCATTATGCCAACAGGCAACCCCCTGCTCCCATGTGCAACATGGGGACAAACAGTTAAGGTTCAGTTACTACCACCGAGCCATGGTGGCGGTGTGGTTACGTGTGAGTTGTGGTCCGAAAAGTCAGCAGTTGGAAACCACCAGCGGTCCTGTGAGAGAAAAACGGGGCTTTCTACTCTTGTAAACAGATACAGTCTTGGAAACCCACAGGGGCAGGTCTACCTTGTCCTTCTAAGCATCGCTATGAGTCGCCATTGGCTGGATGGCAGTGAGTATTACGACCAGAGGCATGCCTTACGAATCAGCTTGGCTGAAGAATTGGCTGAAATAGTCAGAATCAAGGCTGTGTCAGAGGTACTCAGCGCTGGATTGGAAATGGCCTACAATCTGAACCTTCTTTCTGGGCCCCACTTCTCTTTTCTTAATCCCGTTTAGGTTTCCCAGAAATTTCAAAGCGTCTTCAAGGAGCAACAGAGAATGCAGACATTTCCAGACTACCATGCTGGGATAGCTAACACAGAGAGCCCAGGCCTGGCAGGACGTGGTGTGGCCTTCAAAAAGAGAGCCGACTGGATTGCCTTTATAAAGGTGAGGCAACTGGGGTGACAGTCACCCGGCAGTGACGGCAGAACCCCTCTAAGACCTCACACACCCTAACAAACCCGTGGCATAGACGCCAAATCCCATTTCCGAAGGTCCTTGAATCTCACCGCTTGCAGCTTTTATTGAGCGTCATTCTTTCATATTGTCACCTTGTGTGAATACATTTGTTCTCCAGATTAAACCGAAATGCGATCCTTGGCAAAAGAAGTTTTTGACCAAGCTAAAAGAACGGAGAAGAACAGATGGATTAATGCAACTCCAAGCAAAGTTTTTGAAGGTAAGAAAATAATCGTGGTTCCTGGTACTAAGAAATCATTCTTGGAAAATGGAATTTCCTTTCTCCTTTATAAAAATAATGTGGCCCCGGACTCACTGTGAAGGCTGTGTTCGGAACGTTCTGATCTCGTCCTCCCCGTTGATAAGCTTGCTGGCTTCCAGAGGAGAGTGAAAATTGTCCATAGAGCTGGTGCTTTGTTCAGCTTCAGCAGCGGCCTTTACGATCCTGACCTAGTCACTTAACCTCCTGAGCCTCGTTTGTGAAACGAGGATTGCGCTAAGCGAACTTGGAGGCTTCTTGTGAGATCGCAGGTTCTTGGCACCATTATTTGATTTCTTTACCTTCAGAAGAGGAGAAGGGACATTTATTTACTAAGCACCTCCCACATCTCACCAATGATCACAGCCTTTTAAAAACATTTCCTCTTAAGATTTAATTTTAATTGCCTTTTCCTTGTGGCAAAAACATTGGAAACAAAAGATTCCCCAGTTCAGCAATGTTACGTGTACAACAGCTACCACCAGCCATCACTGCGACTCCTTGGCAAAGATTCCACCCCCATTCACAGAGACTCTGTGCCCCGGAAACGCCGCCGCCTCATTTGCTCCCTCTCCCCGCCCTCTGGTAGCCTCTAATAAGCTTTGGTTCCTGTACATTAGCCTGTTTCATAGAAACGGGGACACACGGTGTGTGTCCGTTTTGTGCCTGACTTATTTCACTCAGCATCTACTTTTCCAGGCTCCTCTGTGCAGCCTGCAGGTCTTCGTTTGTCGCAGGGGTTGCATGGTTTTCCACTGCATGTGTCCACACATTTTGAGTTTATCTGCTCAACAACGGAGGGACCATTGGGCGGTTTCCACCTTTCGGCTATTGTACACAGTGCTGCATGACCACTGGGGTTCCGGCATCCTTCTGATTGAGTTCAAGAATTATGAGTCGATGGTAGTTCTGTTTTCATCCACCTCGCATGCATGTGAAAGCTGCCCAGTGCATGAGGCACTCTGCAGAAGCCCCGGCGCGTGGGGATGGCCGGGTTGGTGAAGACCATCCATCGAGAGGAGCGTGGACTGCCGGAAGAACACACGTATCTCTCTTGGAAGGAGTATACCAGAATGCACCTCCGGAGGAGGCCTGTGAGACTCACCCACTTTGGACGTGCGGGGGTCAGTCCCTGGTAGAAGGCTTCGTTCTTGGGAAGGTGGAAGGTCAACAACAAAGAAGAAGGCCCTTGACACACGGGATTGACAGAGTGGCTGCAGCCGTGGGCTCAAACCTAAGGACGCAGGGAAGGATGGCGCCCAACTGGGCAGGGTGTCTGTCATTCTGGTGCCCAAGGGATCCCTCTGAGTCGGAACCGACTAGACGGCGTTCACCAACACTAATGGCCAGTTCTCGGTTTCCTCTTGGAATGTTCTGCCAAACCCCTTTCAATATTATTATCAGTGTTAGCTGACTTGCCCTGCTTAGAGGGAAGAGTTCAGCCGGGCTATGAGCCCAGGCCTGTGTCCTTATAGAGCCCATCCTCTCTCCGTGGTGCCCTGCGGCCTCTCCCTGCAGCTCCTGGCAGGTTTGCAGTGGATGGAGTTTGTCCCCAAAGCTGATGGGCATCTCTCTTTTCATTGGTGCCACCACACTTGTAGGCACATTTGTGTCTAAGATGGCCACCAAATTTTAAAGGAGTAACAGGGCATATTTGGATACATATGCAGGGGCTTCAACAAGTTCATGGAAGAAGTCTATTCTATTTTGATACCATTTCCCCACAAGCTCTTTGAAGCCTGCTTGTGTAGTATTGAAGGAGGCCTGCTGGAGCTGTGGGATCAGTGTTGGGCTGCAAACCACAAGATCAGCAGTTCACAACCCATCCACGGCTCCACGGGAGAAAGATGAGGCCGACTGCTGCCCTACAGATTGACAGCTGGGGAAAGATTATATGTGAGTCAGCATGGACTCCGTGGTGATGGGTTTGGTGTATTTAAGTGTATGGTGTGGGACCGGCAAATGCATTTGGGGCATTGTGATGCTAGAGTTTCATTGTATGTGTTAGTTGAATAAAAATAAAATTGGGCTAAACTCGTGCTGGGGAGATGGGACTAATGCCTCTCTGACCATCCCCCCTCCTCTCTGTTTCCCCGAGATTTCCAGCCCAGGGCGAGCGGTGCAGGCGCTCCAGGACCACGCCGCAAAGATGATCACACTGGCGGCCCAAGGGCCGTCCTTCGCGGCTTCCCAGGGTTTGCATCAGTGCAACTATGACCACATCTGGGAGCGTATTTACAGCAACGTCCACCTCTACCAGGTACAGCAGAGAGAAATGGCCGAAACAACTTTCCGTTCAAGTGGAAAGCTGTACTAGGCCACGTACCACTAGCGGGCGCCAGTGAGTTGGCGCTGACTCGGGCAGCCCCCTGTGTGTCAGAGCTGACCTGTGCTCCACAGGGTTTCCATGCCAGTGCTGGGAAGTAGATCGCCCGGCCTTTCTTCAGAGGCACCTCCAGGTGGACTCAAACCTTCTACCTTTCAATGAGCAGCTGAGCCCCGTCCTGTTTGCACCACCCCAGGGACTCCGGCTGCATCGTGTCCTTTGTTTCTCAGAGGTTAACACCCCACCTCATGTACTTACGTTACTTATCCAGGGTTCCTTTCACCCAGAAGTATAAACAACGATCAAGTGCTGATTTAAAGGAAGGCTATAAAGGGATGGCATACTGGGTGACACAAAGGGCAGTGAACTAACTGCAAGGTCAGCAGTTCAAACCCACCAGCTGCTCTGCGGGAGAAAGATAAGGATTGCTGTTTCCATCAAGAGTGACCGCTTTGAAAATCCAAGGGTATGGCTTTTTATAAGAGCTATCAGTGCCCCAATAAAATAATTTATTAAAAACTTAATTAATGTTTTAAAAAGAAAAGAAAATCCCAGGAACAGCTCTCATTCGACTTTGCCCTATATTTATGAGTCAGGATCGACTTAGTGGCAGTGCGGCTTTCTGATTTTAATGCAAGCTGTCATTCCTACTGGTTCGTATACTGAAAAAAGAAATGCCAGTGCGAGGCTGCCCATCCTAGTGCTCAGTCCTCAAACGAACTGGACAGTTACTACATGGTATGAGCGTGTAGATGGCAGGCGGTCCCCATGGCTGGTTCTCCTGGGGAAGACTTCTGGAAGGAGGAACTTGAGCGGGCCTTGGAGGACGTGTAGCGCATCGAGGTGGGCAGGAAGAAGAGCAGGAGGACAGTGGACAACAGTGCCCAACAGGACCTGTAGGTGGTGTGTTCAAATCCAGTTTGGTTGATTGGAAGACTCATGTAGAAATACAGGTAAAAGAAGTTTGGGAAGAGCGAGGGCCAGATCATGATGGTTTTCAATGCCAGAGTCAGGAATCTGTGCTTCGTCCTGTGTATATATATAGTTTTAGGAAGTACATATATAATATAAAACTGTATTTTTAGGGAGAGGTACATACAAAGCTGTATATATAAAGCTGCATTTTTAGGAAGATTCGTGTGCCAGCGAGGAGTTAGTTGGGTTGAAGGGGGAGTGGGAGGGGGTGGGGCTGGAAGCAGGGAAAGTGGTGGGTGGCTATTGCACAGGACAGGCATGAAGTATGACAGTGAAGAGAACTCGCTGTGGAAGGCTAAGGGGTATTTGTCTTCCCAATGATACCACAACATTTTCAAAGCTGCCACCCACTATTATTTGCTTGCTGCTCAGGGAGATGGGTTTTGCCTCATTTGCTTGTTTAAAATGGGAAGGTCCAAACGTATCTATAGGCTGAGAGGAAGGAGCCAGTGGAAAAGAAGAGACAAAGAAAGGAGACAGGTGAGAAACAAATGACCCAAGGGAAGAGGAGGGAATGCGTTGAAGAAACGAGATGAGGTAAATTACCAGGAAGGGAGGAAGGCATCACTTCCTTTGAGGTGAACGAGACCCGTGGAATTCTGAGGGGGGAAAGGCAGCTTGGGAGTGGCCCTGGCTGGGTCAGAGAGGAAGACAGAGGCGACTATCTGTGTGAGTGGGGTGGCACAGGGAGAGTGGGATGTGAGGAGCTTCGTCATTAAGGGGAAGGCAACAGAACCTTTTGAAAGAAGAATAGGAGCATCCCCAAGAAGACCCCATTTCAGTAAGGGGCCGTGAGGTTGCAGTCAGCTCACCTGGCCTAATCCTTCTATTACTTCCACCCCTAGAAATAACTGTCGAGGAACTGGGCACTGTACAAGCCAAAGCATGGAGAAGTTTTAAAGATGTGAGATTGTCATGGTAGCCATCTGCGTTAGGCAGGGTTCTCTAGAGAAACAACACCAGGACACTAATGATTTTACATATATATATGGATAGGTTTATACAACGAGAAGGAATATCACAGCTAATTAGTCCACACAGCAGTACAGAGGGTTCGGTTCAACTCACTTACATAAAACAGTTGATATACTGGAAGTCCTTCAACTCACGTGGGCTGCCGGGTCCAAAGTCAAGGAATCAGACAACAGAGTCCTCCCTTGGGCAAGGCAAGCAGAGTCTGCCCACAGGAAGAAAACAGCAGGGTGGGTCAGCAACAGTAGGTAGCTTGGGAGCTTAGCAAAGCAGGCCCCGATGATATGACCGCAAACAATGCAAGGTGACAGGATCCACCAGCCTCAAACTCAAGCGATATATATACCAGCAGTGTGGCAAAGCAGGTCTCTAAGGAACCTCAAGCTCTAGTGACATGATCCACAGGTTGGCTTAGCGCACAGGTAGTGTAGCTCACAGGTTGAGGCAGATCACCAGAGTGCAAGAGAGAGGGGGGTGGGCCTTGCAGAGCCATTGATCTCTTTGCCCTCCAATCAATCTGCGACCTGATTAATCCCACATGTTCCTATTGGCCAGGTTAGCACCATAAGCCAGATTATCACCCCGTCCCAGGGTAGCTAAGAAGGAAAGGGAAGTCTAAAGGTACCCAATAAATTATAGACTGACTGGAAGTGAACACACACACACAGGCACACACACCTTCTTTTAAAATGCTAACTTGCTTACACAAGGATCTAGATAGCTAAATAGCCATGAGTTGGTCACACCGGTCAGCAGCAGATGGAATCTCCTGGCCTGTGAATTTCCTGAAAGGGCAGTGACACTGTCTCCTCAGCCTTCTGCTCGGTTTTCTCTCCAGAGTTGTGAAAGCAGCACCGTTTTCTCCATACCACTGTCATTTCACACTGAGATTTGCATCACCCTTCAGGAAGAGCTTGTCTGAACAAGGGGACATTTAAAAACATCTGACTATTGTGGTTGTTAAACCAAACTTAGGGGATGGGAAGAAAAGAGGGGAGAAGGCCGAGTCAGCACTGGATAGCTCTGAACAATGTCTCAGCTCTCGCATCCTGGACAGTCCTCTTCTCGCGTTAACGTACTCCTCCTTTACACGAGTAGTTCAGGTATGAGTACCAGTTTGAAGACTACTGGCACAAATCTATCTTCCTCACTGACGGACCGAATAAGGCGAGTTAAACTGGTGGGGAGCAGCTGAGGGTAACCGGAGGTGAATAAAAATCAATAAAGATCGAAAGCCAAGGAGAACAGGGCCAGAAATGAAGAGATTCGTGTTTGAGTTTCTGGGGAAATGATGAGGGTCAGTGGCACCTGGCCAGCAGGTAGGACTGAGCTATGGCAGGGGCCAGGGCAAGGCGGGCAACCTCTAAGGCTCACTGAGCTGGGGGAAAGCAGACGGGGCACAGTGAGAGAGGAGGTGGCGGCTCAGGGTGGTGTTCAGAGGCAGGAAACACCAAGTCAGGGGTGGGGGTAGGGGTGGGGAAGAAGCTGTGGTCAAAGAGGAAGGGCAGCTTCCTGTTTTCCCTTTCCCAGCCACATCGTGAGGTCGAACTACCATGGCTGGCCTCTGTCTCTGGCCCCACTTCCTTTCATCTGCAGAGGGAACGGGCAGCTGGGGCTTTTTGTGCAGTTGCCCAAATGCTAAAAAAGGGAGAAAGGGAAAAAAGCAAGAAGAAGACCACTTCCCCTGGTTATTGACTGACTTATAAATGTTGTTGGTATTGACCAAAAGGGGAAAAAATAGGAGTGTTGTATCCCCAAGTTGATTCATAGTAAGGAGACCATAAAGCAGGGGTCCTCAAACTTTTTAAACAGGGGGCCAGTTCACTGTCCCTCGGACCCGTTGCAGGGCCGGACTATAGTTTAAAAAAAAACTATGAACAAATTCCTATGCACACTGCACATATCTTATTTTGAAGTAAAAAAACAAACGGGGCAAAAACACCCAGGGGGCCGGATAAATGTCCTTGGCGGGCCACATGTGGCCCGCGGGCTGTAGTTTGAGGACGCCTGCCATAAAGAGACTTAGAATGTCTGTGTAGTTTCAGGCTCCAGAAGAACACACCCAAAGCAACCTACCTATTCATGTCAGACAAGTGGTCCAGTTCCCCATCCATTTATTCCTTGATGATTACATGGGCGCTGCCTTTGTGCCAATCATTGCACCAGGCTCTGTGGGTGAGGCAGACCCAGTTCCTGCCTCCTTGGGGAGCAACGCAGGATAAACAAGTTAACAAAGAAGTAAATCTACAGCTCTAACTTGCGGACAACTTGAAGGGAATGATGGGTCAGAGGGCAGTGGGGTAGATGAGAAACATTGGAAAAGCCAGGTCAGCAAAAACCCCTCTGGGGGGTGACATTTATGTTGAAAGTCGAAGAATGAGAAGGAGCCAGTCATGCAAACAAACAGCCTTGATAGGAGTTTTCCAACCAGAGAATGGAAGAGACCACTCAATGCCTTGGAATATGGATGACTTCCACTGGCCTGAGCAGCCCAGGGGGGCGGGGGGCATCTCCCTCAGGGGCTTATCTGGGGCTGTCCTTGATGAAGACACTTGAGGGTCACTCACTGTGCTGGGGGTCAAATGGTCCAGAGCCAAGCCCCGACCGCCTCAGGGAAGACTCTGGATCTCACTAGTTTAAGTTCCTCCGTCTTACTTAATACAAGTATACGTCTCAGTCATGACCCCAATCCCTATCCAGGTGTCCGGCTGGTAACTACATTATATTGGTCGGGTACCAGCCATGTTTATATGGCAGTCTTCTTTGACTGCCCATGTCCTTTTTAAAGCTCTGTATCCCAGGCACCCCCGGACACCATTATGACCTCCGACCGACGGTCGTCCTCATGCAGATGATATGCCTCTCTAGTTGTCCTCAGCCTGTTTAAGACGAAATAGATGCTCTCTTTATGTAAAACACACACAATCTTTTTTAAGGAAAAGAAAATAGCACTCACTACTTAGGAAAGTCCTTGCACTGGAAGGAAGAAAGAAAAAGACCACGGCGCGTCCACAACCCATAGTGCTCCGCATTGTCCTGTGGGG